CTACTCCTACTCCTACTCCTACTCCTACTCCTACTCCTACTCCTACTCCTACTCCTGCTACTACCTGCTGCTGCTGCTGCTACTACTACTACTACTACTACTGGCAAGTCTTCTGTTTTTCACCAGCGTGTATAGACCGATGCCTAACCGATGCCCGAACCGATGCCGCGGAGTGACTTCCAGACACCCGATCAAGGGACATCCCCACTCGAGAGCAGATTTTAGGGTTCAAATGACATGCCCAAGAGAAAGGAACTAGCAGCTGCATATGTGTGTGAGGTCCTTGAACTTGTGAAAAGTTGTATGCTCTGCTGTGCGTTGCTTCGCCATGTCCATGACTATACTTTTGCTTGGAAACATACGGTATGTTAGTGAGATTCACCAAACATTGGACACCGATGAGGAAAACCCAAGCCCGATGCCCTGTCCTGATGACCGCACCCAGATGTAGGGAATTTTGGACAGACCTCACTTGTTTTGGGGAGAAGATGGAGATTTGTGGGAGACAAACCTGCAGGACTGGGCTAGTGTTTCATTCCGTTTAGTCTTGTACGACAACATCCATTGCCAGGAGGTTCTTCACCATTTTCGTCCCCGAAAAATATCCTCGAAACATGGTCGTCCGACTCCCCCTCTGGTGTTGGAGCACGTGAACCCGCCTGCCCACACGCCGTTGGAGCCCGCTCCGACCTCGAGGCTGACGCCTCAGTCCAGCATCGAGGATTTTCAGAAAGTCATGCACGGCACCTTGGCAAATGGCTTGTGTGGACCTTTCTGAAGCTCCGGTGGATGCTTTCACAGAAGCTCTGGAGGGGGCTGAGTCGAAAAGAAGAGGAGTCTGGACTTTGGAGTCGAGTCATGCCGCAGAACACGCGTCGAACACGCAGAAAAACTCCCAAAAAAAGTCGTGGCATTCGGTGCAAGACCAGGTTTTTCGTGACAACAAGGTCCAGGCCAGTAGAGTCTGTGGGTATAGTAGTCCGCATCCTCATCTGCCATGTTTTCTCGGCCTTTTTGGCTGGGCGCTGCATGGAAAAATAACTTTTAGGATCTTTTAGGGGCACGAATAGGGTTTTGGAGTATCCCAACCCGAGATTGGTGCACATACTGTCACATACTGGACCGGTTCTAGTATAGGTCTATATACGGATGCTTTCAAGCAAGAAAGTCTATCTGGGGTGGGGCACTGGAGGAAAAAACTACTTGCATGATCTTGCATGGTGTGTTTCTGACATCCCGCCGAAACCACCGAAACCACAGAGCATCACAGACCTGCCACCAGAAAAGAGAAGTCTTTGGCCGCTGTGGAGGCAACGTCATCATTTTCTGGCTTTAACGGGGCGAGGTACGAGGAGCCACCGGGGGATTTAACCATGCATATAGGTAGACGAGATAAGATTTATTTGCAGCGGGTCTTTTCTGCGTTTTCAATAAACACTGTTTTTTCAAGCTTGTCTTGAACCACTTTTTTGCATTGATATGTGTTCTATGCTAAGCCAAGGTTTTGAAACGGCGACTGTTCCCGACCAAACGGCGACGACTTGGCCGACCGCCACGGCGACTGGCAACCTTTGTCAAAGCATCGAAACGGCACTGACGGCAAACGAAACGACGTTTTTGACGGCAAACGACTGACATTTATGTTGTTTCGCCCAAGTGCAGAACAAATGCACCCGTGGAAGTTCCAGGTATGTAAGGTATGTATAATATATATGTTTGCTTTTGCTTATATCTTCAGTTGGCTAAGCATGTTGCCAATGTTCTTCGTGAAAGAAGGCCTTCACGTTGTGTGCTTCTCCTTCTCTCGAAGACCGTCTTCGGGCCTTTCAGACTGATCCCTTCCCAAGTCGCTGCGCGACTTCCCGCGGCCGCGCCGCCGCCGTACCGGCCGAAGCAGTCGCAAGGTAGCGGCGGCACCGCCTGTCCGATGCCTTGTGGATTGCTGAGCTGAGGCGCAAAAGGCCGGTTCCGCGCGCCTGCGCGGCTCGGACGGGAGCGGGGACGAGAGCGGCTCGGACAGGCACAGTGGTTCTACCAGGTAGCCCCCCCCAAAGTAGCCTAGAACCAGGTAGCCCCATGATATGACATGATCCATCCTAATCCTACGAACAACTGGTAGGTCATTGCTTGGTATACGGATTCGACGCTACGAACCGGTCGACTCTAACGGTTCATGTACTTTTTCACGGTCCGGATCCCCGACCATCCGGCCATCGGATGTCCCACAACGACCCCCCGGCAACGACCATTCGACCTGGTTTCGTACGACCCCAGAAGGTACCTGGACCCGAACTGGGAGAGTGACTTCGTCTCTTTCGTGGTCTCGTTTTCGCAGACGTTTCGAAGGCGGTCGCTGCGAGGTTAAAACTCGTACACGCAAGGATGCAAAGTAAGTAAACACAGCAGACAGGCTGTATAGGCAGAGGATCCAAGTTGAAAGGACACCTACCTGGAGTCTCAGTACTTACCTCGAAGAAAACGAGTACAATAAATTCACTGCCTGTTTTGAAACGGTCAGGCGTCCCATCTTGTAGGGCTGTCTTTTGAGAGCCGCCTGAAACGAAAACAGTCATCTGAAATCAGCGCTCGCATGTGTTCTTTTACTTTCATTTGTGATCTCTGAGACCACGGCTTGAGGCTGGCAGGCTTCAGACCACATCAGGTGTCTCCAACATGGAATGATCAGATTGACATGCTTCTTGTGTCCCCATTGCTCATCAGCATGCTCGGCTGCTAAGAAATCACATTCAACAAAGATGGAAGTGATTTTTTTGTTTGGAGAGGATTGCACCATATTTCTCATGTTCCACTTCCATTCAGGGAAGGTACGTGTTTTATCCGAACATGAAAAAGACATTGCTTTGAATGATTGAATGCAAACTCACCAATCTTTGGTTCACCGTTTTTTGGTTTCGAGACTCTTCCTTGATGACCATTGATGACCATCTTGCTTTGTTGGTCAATACATGCCCTAAGGGTCCAGGACCATCCGTTTCGGATGTCCTTTGGCCACAGTTCGACCATTCTCAGGAAGTACGAGCTCACCTCCAGGACCATGCTATTCGGATGGTCCTGGACCCTTAGGGATGTCAATAGCAAACTACTGGGTACCCCTAAGGTGGGTGGAACCATGGACCTCTTCATGGAAAGGGTACCCAGACAACAGATGTGCGGCACCCAGACTCCTGTTCGAGGTTGGATGAATCTTCGGGAGTCTTCAGATGAGCTCGGCTTGCCAGAAGTGTAAGCTTGGTTCATGAAGCGCTGCGCTGAGCGGCTGCTGCGCGGCTTTCACGCGGAGATCGCGCCGCGCGCACGCGGAGATCAGTGAAGCTTCAGAGATGCCAAGATGGTGAAAAGATATGGCACAACTAGACTTCGGGACTCCAAAGTTCAGTCATGAACTGAAAAGGCGCTGGGTACAGAACTCATGAGGATGGTCAGCGCTTGGTGCACCCACTGGCATGACGGGGCCCCTTGGAGTTAGAAACAGCCCAGGGTCGTTGAAGAACGTCGCAGTAGGGGCTAGGTCGCACCATCCAATTGGGATGGTTTTATTTCACAGTGGTGTCAGAGTGTAATGCTGGCACGTCTGGGCCCCCAAGTTTCGTGGTTTATATAGGACCAAGACATCTTATAAGATTATAGACCTAGACCTCTTTGGGTTTGTGCCATCGATTCTGCAACCACATGGCTTAAGGAAAATCCATTCGAACTTCGGGCGGGCTTGATCGAAGCACGATTCCTCTCCCGACGTCCTTGGTGCCGGGAATGACGTGGAGAAGCGCCACAGATGGCACCCTGCTGTGGTCCAGTCGACCATTTAGCAAAATGGGAACGACCATGGTGGTGTGGTGACCATTCCTTATAGTCAAACATGGATTGTTTGGGTGAAAACCATGAATTTTAGTGGGGGTTGGAATCCTAGGAAAGAAGGACATTTATCGAATCTATATCCAACACAAGATGTTCCTCGCGGAGACGCTCACTGACTCTTCACAGCTGCCTCGCGAGAAATTGAGCCAGGCAAAGGACTGGTCCAAAGGGCCATGTTGCGCTGTTTGGAGTGGAGAGAGAGTGATTGAGATGGGATCTATCCCAGCAAGACCACCAACGGCTCCACAAAATCACTATCCTTAGGGCTCCAGTCGTGCCTTCGTTTCGAAGGTGGGACTGGGGTGGGTGCCAGGAGGGTCCAGTCATGCCTTCTGAGGAGGTACAACTGGAGCCCCAGGGTATGTTATTGGGGCAGCCATGCACTTCCATGCGATGTGTGCGTTGGAGCATCAACGTGATTTTGTTGGAGGTATGGTCGAGCTCTCGGAGTCCAGCATTAGATCAACTCAACTCATAGCACCAAGTTCATCTATGTTGTCTAATTTTCAAGTGGTTCATTGCATGTTACTCCATGTATGTCCTACTCTAGTAATTTCCTCTAGTACAATGGGCCTCTTCTTGGGCAACGAGCCTCTTCATTGGATCCAGCCCCATGAAGTCAAAGCGTTCGCGCTTTTGTTGGTGACCCATCTCTCAACGCTGCAACTCCCGGCTCTTCAGCTTGGACGGCAGCACAACGGCACGAAGTCTTTGAATGTCTTTGTGGCTCGCTGCTTGCCCCTGTCAGCTCCATGGAGGAACCAGGGGGAGAAGGCGGCCAATGGCAAAGGTCATGCAGAATGCAGAAGTTTCAATCTGGGATCGAGCAGCAAGCATGAGGGCAACAGATTTCGGGTTTATATAGGGGATTGTGGCTTCCAAGACTCTTCTGGACCATCCACATCCCAAACCATCCGATGGAATATGTGATGTTCCCTTTTCAGCCACTGGCCTGATCAGTCAACCCATCGATGCTTTCTGCGAAGAAAGAAGGAAACAACCCCTATGGTCGACCTAGAACATTAGTAGTGAGGAGGGTTGTTAGTTGTTATTCACACATAGACCGGCCTATTGGTGCGCCACCACCACCAACCGGAGCGGACCGAGCGACGAGTTCTTGTCTCCCGTCTCCCGTCCATGGAGCGTCGACCGTGCGGTGGCAGGGCGAGGCACCGAGCAGGTTTTCCCATCGCCCGCCGTCCCACCCGGCACCGTGTGGTGCTGGCGCCGCAGAAGAGGTCGCTGACCACCGAAAAACAACACATCAACTGCAGCACAGACGCCCTGGAAGATTGACATAGAACCTGAAACGATCTAAAACATTCTAAAACTGCTTTGTGGAGGAAGCATCCATCTTCCTCAGGTCCATGCCAAGCCCAGTTCCATGTGGGTCTTTTCCCTCCCCCTTCACGGTGTTCGCAGGGAATCCACCTGGAAGCCACCGACGGAACCCAACGGAACCCAGCGCCAACCGAACCCCGCGCGCTCACCGCGACGCAACGGACTGTCGTCCATCGGGAGCGGTGCGCGGCGGTCTTCCAAGCAGCGTTCGCGACCGAGCGAATCAGACCAAAGGCGTGAGGTGAGTGGGTTGGAGGGGTGGGTGGCAGTGCGTTCCTTTTGGTTTCTTTGCATGAACGTGGGTGAACTTGGGTTGGGAAATATATCCCAGATGCTCTGGGACTGCCATATATTACCTACATTGACCCCCCCTAAAACCACCCCAATGTAGGCAGCGTCTGGGTACAGCTGCTTTGCTTGGGTGTGCGACCTAGAGCTGTCCCCACACCGAAGCGAAGAACATCAAAGAACTGTCTTTTTGGGAAGTTCCCGATCAGGTGAAACAAAGAGTTTTTCTTCCAACAGTTGTTCCTTTTCTTTCCCAGCTTGGCAACCCAACCCCACAGACCAGAGCAGAAGAGGGGAAACAAGCGAGGGTAGTTCGTCCGAGAAGAAAGTTGGTAAGCGAGGGCTTGGCTACTGGAGTGGCAACAACAACAACAACAACATGAGAGGTAGATCCAAATCTCCTGCATGGAAGCGTGTTTTTTCGCATACCCCCAAAAAAGGAACTCCAGGCTGAATGCCCACGTCGTGTTTTTGGTTGGTGTTTTTTTGCATTGTTTTTTGCCAAACACCATTTGTGTTTGTGATTGGTTCCCCAAGGATTCAGTTTCCAGGTATAAATACCTGTTGATCAACTTCCTGTGTGTGTGGATCGTTGACTGAGCGGGTGATATGACCAACTACCTGGAGTCGACCTGATCGTACCATGAAGGACGGTTGTAGTTCATATATCAGGTATAGATCTACCCTACCTGGAGTCCCAGGTGATACTGTTGATGGACAAAATACTGCACCACTTCACCACTGTACCCTGCAAGGGTTGCAACCCCCGTGCCCCCTCATTGTTGGCGCGACCCCTCTCAGGAGGTGGTGCAGGATTTTGGACCTTCAACTTGTTTTAATGTTCTCACTGTGGTGGCCCAAATGTTAACGAGGGAGAACGAGGGCAGCAAGAAAACTGTGCGCAAAGTGGTGCAGGATTTTGTCCATCAACAGTATGACTCCCGGAAGAGGGACACTGCAGATACCATAATATATATGGGATGCCAGCTGGATACCTAAGGGTGGAAGAAGTATGTCGAACAAGTCATGTCCCATCTTGACATGGAGATACCACATGTTGAGTCTGTCCAGATCGAACACTCACTCGCTCCTGCCGTCGCTCGGTTCTCCCCACGCAGGCGCCACCTGGAGTGGACCCCGGAAGGTTCAAGGTCATGAAGATGGAAGCGGTGCCCTCCGGAGCGGTTCGGAGGGAGCCAAGATGAGCCAGCTAAGGAGGGAATGGGGGTATGCATGTAGCAAGGGCGCGCCGCTAGGGGCGCTCCTGGCATTGCTACTGGGAACAAGAAGCTTTCTAGTAGCAACGGGCATCTACTAGGAGCAAGGACGCTACCAGGAGCAAAGGGCATGTGTCCCTTTAAGCAGGGAGCAGTTTAGGAACAAGGGCATCGCTACTAGGAGCAAGAAGCTACTAGTAGCAAGGACGCAGTTTGGAGCTACAGGGAGTTTCTTAACTTAACCACATGCTAGGGAGACACCCGGGAGACATCGGGGAGAACACCGGTGTCACCAAAGCGCGCATTTGAGACATGCGAGCTTTTGGAGACTCCGGGTGAGGGGTCGGGGTTGGGGGGGAGGATGGAGGCGGGATTTGAACATGTCAGAGACCTGGATGACTGACAAAAGGACCTTCCAAAAGTGCTCGGTCCCTTGAGATCTCCGCAACAAAAACTGGAGTCCCTGCAGTCTACCAGGTCCGACCGCTGACCCGGGTCGTGTCTCTCATTCGATGAGCTCCTGGTTCGTTGGACTCTTGGAAGATCGATTTTTGGACTGACCGCCTGGTTCGGCGGATCACTTCATAGACACGACACGTCTGGAACTGCCATAGATGCAGGGAGTCACTTGGGGTGGGGTTGAACGCAGGTCGTCACTTGGGGCGGCCTGTTACTATAGTCCCAGACGTGTCGTGTGGTGCTTTGTGAGATGTTCGGTCGGGGTTTGTCTTATTGCGGTCTGGTAGGTGGTCCGTCCTATTTCAATGTTCCGTGGTCCGCAAAAGAGGTTCTTCAACACATCAAGTTCTGTGGCTGTTTGTTGGGAGGAACCCCCAAAATATTAGCCTTAATTCTTGTGGAAAACCGGGAGCCAAAGCCTAGACTTAGACACTCCAGGTATGGAATGGCCTACATTGACCCCTTACATTAGCAATTTCCAAATTTCTGAAAAACTTTACTTTTTTACATAGTTTGGCGGAAATTCGGAAATTAACAATTTCTGAATTTCTGCAATTCTTCAACTTGGTGTCTCTTAACTCGGCTTGGTGTTCCTTAAATATCTGAATTTCTGACGGCCGGGATTTCTGACGTGTGATTGTTGGGGTCTACAGAGAACTAGAGGTTTGTAGGGTCTTGGATTCGCCTAAATATAAGTGAACATCTACAGGAAAGCATTGGTTTTTGTCCCCCAAACTATGGGTTTCCTGTAAAGTGTCCCTTAAACCAACTCTGGGCTTGGTTTTGGTGCGCGTCAGTTGCATCGGCGGCCTATCTCAAATGGAGAATTGAGAATTCTTGCATGACCCTGGTTGGGGTGGGTGCCAGGGGGGTCTAACCACCTTCTGAGGACATAGTTGGAGGTCTAGGGTGAGAACAGTTCTTCTCCCAACGTCATTGCAGTTTAATTCATCCAATTGCATAAGGTTTGATGGTTAAGAGCCTCATTCCTCCTTTCGAGCTGCGGTACTCATACTGCTTGGAACAATATGATGGGAATAACTTGCCCTGAAATCATCATCAATGGAGATGGCTATACCAAGAAGAGCGATTTGATGGTTCATCCTTTTGTTGCTTCGAGGCAATGTAAGCTCCCAGATGCTAAGCACTGCCTGGGACTCCAAAGCATCATGAAA